CCCCCCCAATAAATGCTGTTTTTAAGCTTAGCTAGCAGTTTGCTGGGAAGAAGGGTGGGCCACCCAGCCGAGGGCAGGCCAGTCCCAGGAGGCCCGGGGCTCCTGGCACCGGCACTGCTGGGGGCTTCACCCAGTCAAGCACTCAGCCCACCTCAGGATTAACTGCCTCTCAAGGCCATGGTTGTAGGCACTTAAGACAGTGGCTTGTGGGCTTTTAAAAGACTTTATTGGGGAAACATACATGGGTGGGAACTGTCCTCGGAGACATCTCAGGATGCTGTCCTCCATCTCACTGGGCAGTTGCAGTCTCCAGGGACCCCTGCTCAGAAGCATATGACCTGGGACAAGGGGACAGAAGGAGGGACTGGACTGGGGCTCCCAGCAGCCCTGGGCCCCCTACTTGGCTGCCCAGACTCATGGGCTGCAGGGTTCTGGAGACTAGGAAAGGGCCTCTCCCTGCCCTGCCTGGATACCCTGTTCCCATCACCTGCTGGAGGGGTAGGTTGCCATGCCTCTCACTCACTCTCTGGTCTTATCAAAGCCAGGGTCACACTACTTTCCAAACCCCCAGTATGTTCAAGTCTAGCCACTCACCAGCCTCAGCAGGGGCCTCGTCTGTGACTCCTGGAGGACCCAGGCCTGGGGTGGCCACTATCCCCCCATCTGGGGGAAGAAGCCAGGGAAGGAGAGTCAGTGCAGAAGGGAGTGGGTAGTGGAAGGGCCNGAAGGATGCCCACAGACCACGGTGAAGGGTTGAGTCAGGCTACGACCCTTGTCACGAAGAGCCGACCCTATGGAGGAAAGTACATGTTGCTAAGCAGGGATGAGTGGTAACGGGCCAAGCCCCGACCGGGACCGAGCCACACCTCGGCAAAGAGAAGCCAGTTCTATACAGAAGTATGCCCGCCCTGTCCCTAGGCGAAGACCAGCGTCACAGGCAATCCTACCAATCCCCTTTAGAAATGAACTGCCTCCTCCTCCTGAATGGGTGCTGTAGCGCCACCCTGCGGCCTGAAGCTGGCCGTGCTCCCCGGTAGTGAGGGAAGGAATCCCACTGGGATGCGTATCCTCACTCCACCCTCTCAACCCTCAGTGGAGCTGGTCGCGGACCCTGAGACCCGGACCGTGGCTGTGAAACAGGTACCGGTTCCTCAGCGAGGCCTGGAGGTGGGGTCGGGGAGGAGTCGCAGCCCCGCGGGGAACAGGCCCACTAGGAACATCTGGCTGGAGGGGAAGCGGGTGTGCCGAGCAGGCAGCCCCCGGCGTTGCCCGCCTCCGGGCCGTACCCTTCCACCGTTAATTGGAAAAGACCGCCTGTAACTTCCAACGCCCTGATTGGTGGTACACAGCGAAGAGGCAGGGCTTAGGGGTCTGATTGGCAANTGCTGCTCCTGCTCCAGGTTCCGCTGCAGGACCTGCTGCTGGTTGGCAATGACGCGCCGGATGCCATTGACGAAGTTGCTCTGGTCATGGGGGATGAGGCCGATGAAGATCTTCTTCTCCGAAGAGTAGAGGAGCATGAGCACGCGGATCTCACACGAGGCCTTGTAGGAAAAGTGCACGCAGCCGGCCTGGCAGGCGCGGGGCACGGTGTCACGGGCAGCCCTGGGCACAGACGCTCCTCCCCATTTCGATGGCCTCAAACCACACAGGCCAGCATCCCTCAGACAGCCTGTGCAAGCCGGGTGCGTCTAACTGCTCTGTCCTCACGGCCTTGTTATGACTCCCATTTGGGGACATGGAGACAGGAGCCCAGAGATGACTGTCCAAGGCCCAGCGGGTTCTGCACAGAAGAGCCCAGGACACTGCAGCACCAACACCAGAGGAGCAAGTACACAGAATGCCCTGGAAATGGGCCTGGGGCACAGCATGCAGCGTCAGGGTGACCAAACCATGCAGAGGCCACACTGGGAAAGATACCGGACACTAAAGCTCCGCTNGTGGGGCCGGTCCCAGCTGTTCCCTGTTCCTGTGCAGCGGGGAGTTAACCCTTCAACTGCCGGGACCCAGGAGCTGAAGCCGGAGTCAGAGGGCTCTCTGGCGGTGGGGGACACGCTGTATTTGGTCAATGGCCTCTACCCGCTGACCCTGCGCTGGGAGGAGTCCCGCATGCCAGAATCCCAGCCAGACACTCCGCCCGGCACCCCTCCCGCGGCCCCAACCGAGGAGGAGCAGCAGGAGCAGGAGCAGGAGGAAGAGGAGGATGTTGAACGGCCGAAAAAGCGGATGCGGAAGTCGTCCCCTGGCTGGGAGAGCTTGGAGAAGCTGCTGGTGTTCACCGCACCTGGGGTGAAGCCCCGGGGTAAGGTGAGGGCCAAGCTGGGGCCTGAGAGCGCCGCCGCACTATGGGGATGCAACCCCAGGTCTGCTGTGTGCCCCTGGGCATGTCACTCAACCTCTCTTAGCCTCCATTTTTCTGGGAAATGGGCCTGATGATAAATTCAGGGCTTGTAAGCATTGGGGGAATCAGTGTTTGACCTCTCCTGCCTGGTCCACGGCAACCACCCTGCAACCATAGTAATGATCTGGATTGTTTTAGCAGGAGCTATTATAGTGCGGATTTCTTAGGTCAAGAGAGATTCGAGTTCAAATGCTGTTACACCATGTTCTCTGAGCCCCTTTTTTCTCACCAGCGAAATAGGGAATCTATGAAAACCACGTGGCACAGCCTGATGTGCAGTTAGCATCCAAACAAAACTTAGCTCCTGTCTTACTTGCATGGTTATTAGCCCCTTGGGGTGAGGCCAGGGTGGATAGGGTATGAACCCCATTGTACAGCTTGGAATACTGAGGGGTGTGGGAAGAATAGGAGACAGTAAAGGGAAGATTTCAGGCACTGCACTCAGGCATCAGGGATGCTTCCTCACTGTGCCTGTCTTTACATAAGATATAGAAGTTTCCTGATCAGTTTCTCCATCTGTCAGGGAACCGTCATAGTCCCTCCCTCACAAGGTTGACGAGTACCAGCCTGTGAGAGGATCAGAGGTGTCACTGTTTGTTTTTTGTGACACCAGGTGGCCGGCTTTGATCTGGATGGGACCCTCATCACCACACGCTCTGGGAAGGTCTTCCCCACCAGCACCAGTGACTGGAGGTGATAAGAGGCAGAAGGGGGTGGTGAGTGAGGCTCCCTCTGGGCCCTAGGTCACCTTGCCACTTTCCTGCCCACTAGGATCTTGTACCTAGAGATTCCACAGAAGCTCCGGGAGCTGGACGCCGAGGGCTACAAGGTGTGTGTGCGCGGGTGTGAGGGTCCAGGCTGTAGGGTAGGCTGGGGCATGGTTAGGAAGGCACTGGGTGACACCCATCTGCTCCCCAGCTGGTCATCTTCACCAACCAGATGGGCATTGGGCGTGGGAAGCTGTCAGCAGAGGAGTTCAAGGCCAAGGTGGAGGCTGTGGTGGAAAAGCTGGGAGTCCCCTTTCAGGTACAGATGCAAGGGAGACTGAAGGAGGGCCTGGGAGGACAGAGACCCAGAGGGAGGTGGGATGGGGACTTGGGGAGAGGGAGGACCTAGAGGGAATAGGATAAAGGGGAACAGAGACCCCGAGAGGGGGAGCAGGTCCTGGGTGTGGCTATGTGGACAGAAATCCATCGTAAGTGGCAAGTTTGGAGGCACTGGGAGCTCTCCTTTGATTGGTGAGGGATGGTGTAGCATCCCCAGGTCCTGCATATCCGTGAAAGGCTTTGGATGCTCAAGGAGGAATGGTATCTGACCCTACCTGGTCCACAGGTGCTGGTGGCCACACATGCTGGCTTATACCGGAAGCCGATGATTGGCATGTGGGACCATCTGCGGGAGCAGGTGAGCCACAGCCTCGGGTCACTCTCCTTTTCCCTCTTGCAGCCCCCCCTTCCAGCCTCCACGCTGAGTAAGTCCCTGGCATCCCTCTCCTCTCATCTCCTCCCTTTGGCCTCACCTTCTCTGTTTTAGCTCTGTGGCCCCATGTTGGTGCGAGGCCAGTGATCTTTAACTGAAAACCAGGGTGGTAGAGATCAGTCACTGGCTCATTCGTCTGAAGTGTCACAGCTTGGCCCATGTGTCTGGGAGGGTGCAGGCTGTAAATACAGACTGATTTGTAAAACAGCGGGAGTCAGTGAGGCCAGATGAGCCAGGGCGGTCTGTCTGTCTGAGGTGCCACTGGAATCGAGCTAATGGTGGCGAGGGAGGGAAGCTTCCAGACTGGAGTCACAGCAAGTGCAAAATACTGAGCAGGTGTGTTTAGGGACAGTGAGTGAGGTGGCCTTTATGGGTGAGGGAGGGCGACTTCAGAGCCAGCAGGGGTCAGAGTGTGTGAGGCCACCTGGGCCAGACTCCACTTTTACCT